TACATACTAATTGCGAATTAACAATCGTCATCTTTAAAATATGCATCATATACAAAATTTTGATTTGTTATAATAAAGTAAATACTAATACGAAATATTTACCGAGTGTCTTGAACTCCTTCAACAAAGATGTGGATTGTGGGAATCGGTTCCCGGTTGTAACTTCAACGGCTTGAGGTTACTCGCTTTAGGAATCCAAATGTCTTCCCTCTAGTCGTATCCACCCTATGAAGCCCGGTTCCGACGACCTTTCTTCGCTAGTAGAAATGTCTCGGTTTTCTTGTATAGGAATATATATATATATATATAGATATAATTTGGGAATTATCAAGAACACTTTCTTGAAATATATGAAAAACACTTTCTTCTCTCTTTGATTTTCTCACAAAATCACTTCACATCTTTGCAAACATTTTGCATCTATTTATACTAAACATTTTAGCATAAAATAATCAATATTTAGTAATATTTAAATAAAATCAAATTTTATTTAAATAGTATTTACTAACCATTGACTTTGAAAATAATAAGATATGTTAAGTAGTTCAAACAACCATTAACAACCATTTTATTATAATCATATTTCTTATTTTAATCCTTAAATCATATTTAAAGATATAAATAATAATTGGATAATAAATCATGAGAATCTTTCTCAAGACTTTATTATTATATCATTTTTCCAATCTTATAATAATCATATTATTATTATTTTGGATTTGAAATTTAAAATCCTATTTTAAAATTCAACTTTATTAATTTAGTAATTACTTTAATTACTAAAGTAATATCCAAAATGTAATTAATCAATCTTATTGATTAATATATTCCTTTAATTGACATCTAATCAAATTAGATATTTATCAATTAATTCTAACCATTAGAAATACAATTTTTACCTTTGTTTATAATTAGTGTGACCTTTTAGGTTCACCTTAATACTAGTAGTGGGTTTACAACACTTTGTAATTTGAGTTACTCGGTATGTTGTTGTTGTATATGCTTAAGTGGGTTGAGGAACTTGAGTATATCTTAGTTTTTTTTTTCGCCAAAAGGTTCAGTACTTCAGTTCAGGGTCCAGCCATCAATTATTTTATTTATTTATGAGTCAATAAAATAAATAAAAAATTATGTAACTCGTTTAATAAAACAATGAATTTTAAAATAAAAGTATAAATTTTATGAGTAAAGTTTGAGAAAATTCTTAAGAATCAAAAATGAAAATAAAGGAGAAAATCCTTTTTATTCAAAGAAAAAAAAAATAAACAATCAAAACTCTAAACTTTTTGTAGTTAAATATATAAATTAAGTTTAGTGGAGTACATACTCAATTATAATTATATAGATTTTTTTATTGGAAAGTATTAGTTTTTAATTTAAAGTTAACAAGTTAAATAACAAATTTAAATTGAAATTCGTCTAAAAATGAGTTGATTTCACTTAACTCTTTTATTGACTATCGCTAATATAATTAAATTGTGCAATTATAAAATAACATTATGTATATCCAAAAAAGAAAGAAAAAATTAAGAAATCATATAATAGAATAAGAAAAATATGTAGAGGTTATTAATCTATATATATATAATTACTTGCTCAAAACATTAAAGAAAACCTAATAAATTTTACCTAGCTGGCACTTTTTTCCAATTCCGCCAATTTCCGTTACATTTTATTTATTTTTCGTTTTTTATTTTCTTTATTAAAAAACATATCAATTTGTGGGAAGAATAAATGTATAAATTTTGAAACAAATCAATTCAGCCATCATTACGAGTTATTGAAAATGTTCTCATTTTTTTTAAACATTTATTATTCGGCACAAAAATCAATAATCAATTTTTTAATCTCATCCCAATTATAATTAAATCATATATTTTGGTTTCCATAGTAAATTTAAATAAATTGATGAACAAATAAAAAATTAAATATCCAAAAATACAACAAACCATAAAAACAAATTATAAATAATAAAAAAAGCAGAAGCTCCTTTGGGTTTGCAATTCCTGCAATAAAAAAAAATTAAATATCAACATTTAGTACGCCACAAAACATATTAATTATAATTACCAAATTAATGGACTTTTAGATAATTACATTTCCAAACACAGTTGGAGGTAGGAAAATTGTGTTTGGAGGCAGGAAAATTAAATTGAAACAATTGAAGTATTTTTGGGTATACAAATTAGAAAAATAACACTGATAATTAAAAAGTAAATGTGGTATAATAATCTGAAAAATAAAAGTCCTACAAATTTGTTGCAGTCAAAGAAAATTATTATGTAGACTTAATTATTAAAATATAATATCCATGATTATAGCACACTTTAACTTGCCAATTAATTTTAAATAACACAAAGTTTGAGGCGGGATAATGAAATTGAAAAAATTGAATGATTTTTTGGTATACTAATGTGACAAACAACTCTAATAATTAAAAAGTAAATGTGGATATTAATCTGAAAAATAAAAAGTCCTAGAAATTTTTGGCAGTCAACGTATATATAGATTCTCATTCTCATTTTTTCAATCAATAAAATTTATATATATTGATTGCCTCTATTAAAAATTTCCTATATAAATAGTCAGCTGATTTTCAATAACACTCATTCCATTCCCTACTAATCTAGCTGTAGTACGAGCAAAAAATTCCCTCATTACAGCCAATTTTTTTTTCATAAAAAATCATCATGAATCAATTTGATAAATTGACCTATTTAGCAAAAAAAAAAAAAATGACGGCAAAACTCATATTGGTCCGAACTTAACCCAAGTTCTACAAATCGTGCCAAAAAAGCATAAGAGAGATCGATTTCATTTTTCATGATTCTAAGGTGTTACTAATTTTTTTGGACGTTGTATTACTTATTTATTTTTAAATGTGTCATTATATTTTGCTAATACTATATTTTTTTCCTTTTTAAGCTAGTAATTATATATATATCGATTAATAACCTCTACATATTTTTCTTATTCTATTATATGATTTCTTAATTTTTTCTTTCTTTTTTGGATATACATAATGTTATTTTATAATTACACAATTTAATTATATTAGCGATAGTCAATAAAAGAGTAAAGTGAAATCAACTCATTTTTAGATGAATTTCAATTTAGATTTGTTATTTAACTTGTTAACTTTAAATTAAAAACTAATACTTTCCAATAAAAAAATCTATATAATTATAATTGAGTATGTATTCCACTAAACTTAATTTATATATTTAACTACGAAAAGTGTAGAGTTTTGATTGTTTATTTTTTTTTTCTTTGAATAAAAATGATTTTCTCCTTTATTTTCATTTTTGATTCTTAAGAATTTTCTCAAACTTTATTCATAAAATTTATACTTTTATTTTAAAATTCATTGTTTTATTAAACGAGTTACCTAATTTTTTATTTATTTTATTGACTCATAAATAAATAAAATAATTGATGGCTGGACCCTGAACTGAAGTACTGAACCTTTTGGCTTTGCTATGAAATTATCATGGTTCATGGATTCTGAAATTGATGGTTGAACTGAAATCAATTGTATGTTTCTGTGAAATTGTGATATGCCTGTGGCTATGACTGTGAACTCAAATTATATATGTATGAGATGCAAGCACCCGTAATACTGTGGCCAATAACTAACATTACCTGGAAAAAGAGAAAAAATACTAAAACACAACCAACAACACAATAACACAACAGAACTGGACTCCAAAAATTCACACCGAGGAGAAAAAAAAACTAAGATATACTCAAGTTCCTCAACCCACTTAAACATATATCTTGTGAATTTCAGCCTAATTAGTAGGTTGAGCTACCTTCTCAGACTATTTAGTATCAATTCCAGCCTTCATAATTGTTTCTGCCTTCATACTATGTGTTTGATTTGCTTTTTTTTTTTTTCATTGGATTTTAGTTTGAAGTTTGTTGAATGGTTGTCATCTGTAATGATTTCAATAACTACTAGTGCCTTTTAAAAAATTTGTTTACATGTTTGAAATGGTTATGGTGTTATTTATATATATATTTGTGTATAGATGTATATATATTTTTGGATTTGCCATAGCTTCCACTACACTATCCGCGATGGATATATGACATTTTTGGCTTTCCGCCATTGGCCGCCATCCACTATTAATAACACTGCCCCACACTTTGAAAATTTGTAGATATGTAAAAAATAGTGTTGATAGTGACTAGCACTTGAGAAATACGGTGAATCTCAGACCTACTTAGCTTGCTTCCTAGAGTTTGTCTATATCAACTAAAAAATTTTGGTTTTATCAAGGACTATTTTTAACTTGAGTTTTATCAAGGACTATTTTTAACTTCAGTTTTATCAAGGACTATTTTTTAACTTGTACTTCTGGTCAGAAGCTTTCGCTGTAGTGTGATGTTCAGTTTTACTATTTTTCTATCATATCACAATTAATTAACTCTTCATATAATATAATGTAACTTTACATTATAAAATTATTAATTATTCCACCAACACTTCTTTTTCCAACCATTTTTTTTTCTCAAGTGAAAAGATATCCAATAGCACCAAGATTTCACATCAGGTGATGCTTCAACAACGTAGGTGAGGACAAGACTAAAGTTTATCGAGATATAAGGATAGCAAGGAGGTGATGGACCTCAAACCATTCAAGCTGGACATTGATGAGCTCATACAGGAGTTTGCTGAGGTATTAATCACAAAAACAATTGTTCTCACCTTTTTATTGCTAATCTGCATACTTACTAATTAGCATTTGTCTTGAGTGATTCATGCTTAATTTATATATATTCTCAACTACAGAGTGAATCAACTACCTTGACTGAATTCAAAAAGATCTGGCTTTCGAGGAAGTTCTCATTTATATTCGAGGCTAGACCTTCCACTAACCAAGGTTTCTTTATGCAGTCATTGTATGCACATTCCATCGGTGAGTAGATTTTTATTATATGTATAGATATGCAGACCGGGAATGATTGTTTGTGTCGTGAAGGGATTTCTTTACTCTTTAGTTTATATAGGGGTAAATCTGCAGTTAGACATAATTATATTTCCTTAAACCAATTTGTAAAACTGTGCTAATATGCTAGTTTGGTTGTTATTTTCAGTTTGTCATTTGTTTTTCTTGAAGGTACACTTGCTATTTTCAACGTTTTTTGGGAATCTTAGATGTGAAGAATAATATACAGTGAATCAAACTAAGGCTCGTGGAAAATATCAGAAGCCACAATATGATAAAGATCCAGACTTGTGATTTGCACTAGTTATTCATACCTTCTGGTTTTCTCTTTTGGATAAATTGAAGGGGTTGGGTTTTTTTTTTTGTTGGCTGTTGTGAAAGTTCTTGTCTTGGCATAGTTAGTTGTGACTGGAGCATTCAATATATTCAGGATTATTCGTGATTGATAAGCTGTATTTTTTTGTGTGTTAAGATGGTCTAATTTTTCAAATAATTGCTATATTTTTGTGGTTGTAGGTCACATGATTTCAGCAGGTTCTCTCTCAATTAGATTGGGTGGGCTCTACTGCTTGTATTGCTTATACGAAACACAGCCATTCAAGCCACCTTCCAAAATTTATTTATCTCTTGGTGAGTGTACTACAATTTTGACTGATTTAAGATTGTGTTCGGACATTAAATTTGTTGCCAAATTTTATCTGTTCTTGAGTCCATTCATGTGGCGGTTGCCAATGCTTATGTTTTTTCTTTCATTGTGTAAGTCGTACTCTGGAAAATACTCATTGTTGAACTTTTAGAGCATGATTGGATATAAAATGTTTTTGTTTTAATTGGATTTTTCATTTGGGTTGGTTAAATTTGAAAAAGTTGGTTTGGTTAGTTGTTAGTGGGTATATTAAAATAATATTTAAAATAAAATGATTAAAATTAAATTGATGTAAAAGTAGGAGAGAGAATGTGTGATGTGATGGTTAGTTAAAATTATGTGAGGTGATGAATAGTTAATTAAGGTTGATGTTGTGTGTAAGAATGATTGATTGATATTATTTAATCATATTGATAATATTGATGATAGTGGGGTTGAGTTAAGTTGAGTTAAAAAAAGTGATTGAGTTAAAAATGATTGGGTTTTTTGGGTTCGATTTATATCCAATCATGCTGTTAGTCGCTTTGGAGTGCTGCATTGTGCTTGGCATCTTACATGATACTAATACTGGTCCTACACTCCTACCTGATATCATAGTAATACCTGTGTGTTGGAATAATCATTCGCTAATTCTGGTGGTCTTTGAATTGCGTTAGATTTTGAGGAAACATGATTTTTAAGAAACAATAAGGATCTGTAAGATATGACAAATAACTAGCACAGCTGACGGTAGCATTTTAAAAATATTTATTTTCTTGATTTCTTGATAAATTTTGGCTGCTTGTGGTTTTGGTGTACTTTCATAATACTTTCCTGAAAATGTATTGGGTGAGGATTGGAAGTTGCAGTGTTTTTCCCTCACCATTAGTGCTGCTCTTTACACATTTCGGCTCTTAGATTTGTATGTAGTGATAACTCTTCTGTTTTGGCATAACAATGTCGAACCTAACGATATATGGTTTTAATGATGTGCTGCTGCATGCCTTAGTCAAGATGATGTCCTGAACTAAACTAAACTAAAACTATTAAGAGGTGAGATTTGAAGACATTTTGCAATGCTGTGTGGCATGTTAAGTTAGAATATTGAACAAAGTGCAAGAGAACCTAATGTGTTTCAATGTAAAAACTAGAAAGAGGTTCATGTAGGAAATTCTTGGAATGAGTGGATGGTCTTGGGATAGACCCGTGCGTTTCTTAGAGTTCATCTCTTTTCATCATCAATCATTGTGTTCATTTTTGTGTTTTTAATTCGTGTTCTCCTTTTCGGCATGCTGTTAATACTGGCTTGCAAGTTGCTTTTGCTAGACCTTTTGAGTAATGATTGCTTGTCATGTATGTCTCTCTTTTATACTTTCCTGGTATTAGCAATAACTAGCCACAACTCCCCCGTGAAATTGGCTTCTTATTATGCTCATTACGGCTGTTGGGTAATCATTGATGAAATGTCTTAGGGCTTAAGAATCAAGTAAACAGTTGGATATCTAGTTTGAGAAATTGTTCCATATAAAATTAAGCAGATCCAGTTTCTTACCATTCATGAACTAATGGTGAAAGACCAGGGTGTGAAATATACCATATATAAAAGCCTAGCATTTTATTATAAGAAAATTTTTTTAGAAGGTTCCATTGATTGAGTTACTTGTCAACTTTTGTTCCCCTTTTTGTTGTATCATCAAGTATGCTACAGAATGAAGTTGTACGATTTGCTGCTTCAATATTACTTGTAGCCTTTGCAGAAGATTGTGGTTTTGGTAGTGGCTGAAATAAGATTAGGGACTTGAGATGCAATGAGAAGTGACAGGTTGTGATTTTTAAGAGTTTTTTTTTTGCTCTCTCTCTTACAGGCGAGTTGAGGCAGCTCAAGACCCTTGCCCTTGAGGCAAAGACAAGGGGTGTGAAAATGGTTTCTACTTTACTGAAGAGCATGTTAGAAAGGAACATGTTTCTTTTCGGGTTTGTAGGTGTAAATGAAGACTCTGCCACAAAAAGAGTGAATGAGCTTACGGATATACAGAATGCTCGTGTCCAAACAGCTTATAGGAAGTGTGAACTTATATCATTTCTTTTCAGTGTTTTTTGGCTTCTGCATCCTTTCTGGCACAAAATGATATATGTTACTATGTCTGACAGTGATGTTGTGGCTTAATAGGTTATTTGCTGATTCGCGACTGGGCCACTTCATCCACATGGGCCTGGTGAGTTTCATGATACTCGGTTGGTAATATGAAGACGAAAGTGAGGTGTTTAGTTTAACATGCCTGATGGAATAAACAATTAGGTTCCAGTAAAAGCATTGAGTGATTTGGGAAGCCTTGGCCTTTCTTTCAGCTGAATCAGCAAGTCTTTTTTGAATTTACTTAAAATTTATCTCGAAATATGGTGCAAGACCTAAATAAATGGTCACTAATAACATGATTTTCAAGTTTAACGATGAATTATTTAATCATCACTGTTACTTGTGTCAATTATGTAAAAAATGCCTAACATGCTGAACAGGTTGATCAAAATTGCTGTTTTTAGCTGTCAAACCTTGTCTTTATCGACAATGTCATCATATTATAGGGTAGTTAAGTCTGAAATGTTAGTGTTTAGTTCATGAAAATCTCCAAAAACCTCGTAGCTACGTTCCTTCATCATGCATCAACAATGTCTAATCGGAAGCTAAATTAATTTTTTATTTTCTTTCACCACAAGGGCACGGAGCTTGATGTCAATTTGCTCAAGGAAAAATCATCTGATTATGCATTGGCCAAGGAAATTGCCATTAAAGGTATAAGTAAAATCCTATTATCTTATAATACATGAATTTATCAATATCGAACCCAAGCACATTCACTCTTTTTTCATATCTTTGCTGTGAAAATTTCACTTTCAATCCATAGTCGGGTTATTCATATCGTTTGTTTGCAATAAGAAACGTATCAAAAATATGAAAACTCGTGTTGCTTTGAAACTCATTTCACAATTTCCACTCATTCAATTTTGACATGAATATTCTTTGAAGAGGCTGGCCAAGTGATAGACGTCCAAAATATAACGCACATAGTTGAAGATAAGAGAGTGATAGGGGAGGTGGTGGAGAAGGCTGCTACAGATTGGAATTCGGAGAAAGAAATGTTGTATGAAAGAACAGGTCTTCCTGTTGCTTTACCTCAGGACAACGAAGAAGAACAAGAAGAAGAAGAAGAGAACGAGTATGCAAGTTACAATCAGAATATGCAAAATGGCAATAAAGAAGAAGCTGATACTTTTGGTAAGGAACTAGAGGTTTTATTGGCAAAAGAGGGCCAACATTCTTGGGAAAACATATACGATTAGTGGCATATTACGGCATTTTTTGTATGGGTCATTACTTTGCTCTATTTGTATTATACTGTAATGTTTTTGGGCAATTAAATTTAACATCATAAATTAATTAATGTATTATATTACTGTGGAGTTGCATTTAAAATTTTAAATTCCACTCTCATCTTAAAAAATTAAATAAAATAATTATATTACTGATTCACGCTTAGAATGAGGTATCTGACTATCTGTAGTTCCTTTGACTACAAAAGAAACAAGGAATAATTTTCATAATCTAACGGTTCAGAATCATTGACGTTTTGTCCCTACCTCTCAATAGAAAATCAAAGGTGAGTTAATGGCTTTTGTCCCTCTTTTGGCCGACATATGTATCTTCATTTCATAAATTATGTTCCCTACAGCTAACCCACTCTTTACCACGCGCTACCCCCAAAACTGTTTAACACACGCGCACACAATCTCTCGTGATGTGTATTGGACCTATTGGTCGATTCAGGAATTGAACAAATTTATAAAATCAAATTAAACGGATTTACTATTTATTTGAATTAGTTGCCTTTTATCTAAAATTTCTTTGAAAATTTTGTTAGTTTAATTGGTTAATCGGAATAACCGAAATATATTATAATTTTGAATATAAATAAATATATTTGAATTATATATATATATTATGTAATATTTATATAATTTTCACTAAAAGTATTAAATAAATTATAAATATATAACAACATATAATCGGTTCTATACACACTCTCTCTCTCACACACACACATATATATACTAAGAATATGACATACCAATCTTGACAAAAATAAAAAAATAAAAGATATGCTCTTTTACATATTAAATTGGAATTTTTTGTTATTTTACTTAAAATCGTTTGCATTACATATTAAAGGGTAAATATATTTTACCATATTAACTAAATATTTTTATATTATAAATTATTCTTACCTTTCTCATTGTTTTTTTGAGTCAATTTTTTTTTTTTTTAAACTGAATATTCATATATTTTAAACAAAAACTTGATATCTTTTTATTTCACTTATTTTCATAACTAAAATATCCATTTTTTTTTTCAATAATTTTTTATTTGACACCATATTTTTTATACCAAATGAATAGTATTTGTTTCTTTGATATTGGATTGTTGGCTTCTGTTGATTGTTGATGACTATTGAGGTTTGAATTTAAAAAATTCTTATGTTAATTGAGAAAGATGTATTTAATAGCATTAGCAATGATGTTATTATGCATCGGTTTCAAAATATAAAATCGCGTCGTGGACAATTACCTTCTCGGCATTGACTGAAAAGTTGTAATTTTTTTTAAATTAAAGTGAATTTAAACAAGAAAAAACTAAGTATTTTATCATATAATATTGCCTTGACTGATAAAAAATCCTGTATCCGCCGCTGCCAGTAGCCAACTCCAATTCTTATGGATTTTGAGGCAGTTTGGTTGTGGAGCATTTCTGGTAAAGTTATTTAGAAATATTAAATGAAAGAGGACATATAGTCAACCTTCAATTCTTTGATGGATTGGTTTACATATTTTAAGGGCGAGCGTTGCATGAATGAAAGAAAGGGACTAACCTTTGAGTTGTGTGTATTTACTTTTTACGAATAATTCATCTCGTTGATGTGCTATGCTGATCTATGACTTTGTCATTAGATAGTTTCTTAGTTTAGCAAAAATATTAATTTTTATAGGAGTCGTCTTGTGATACTTGGATTCAAATTTGCAAAAGTGGGCTAATCTTTGTGAGGTTTTGGACATTGTGTGTGACGTAGTTTTCCGATCGAGCAAAAAAGTGAAGTTTTAAACTTGAACAATGACATCACTCGTAATGCTAATGGTGGATGGATTGTTGGTTAATTGGTCTTAAATGCAAAATAAGTACTTTCCAGATAGTTACAAAATAATGAATTCAGGCAGATGGGCTGTTGGTTAACTGGTCTAGATGTACATTTTGCAGTCATAATTCATAAAGAAACATATATTGCTCCAAATTATTAATTTTCAATACTTGGATTTATGCACAACTAATCGTATAATTCCTTTTTGGGAAATTTTTATTTATGCTATGTGATTTTAAATTAATTGCAACTTTACCATAGAAGTTGAAATAATTATGTTTATACCTAAAAGACCTTATTTATCTATATTAATGCCTAAAGTCAGTTACCATAACCTTCCCACCTCCATCCCTCTTTTTATGGGCATGATTAAGAGAGAGAAAATAACTGACTCGTTTAATTCCTTAATTCGCGCAACTTGAATTCCTTAATTCACGCAGCTGTCAAGTGGTATATATTGGGTTTATGTTAGTATATTTTCAGTATATGTTGCAATGAAAAACATGTTTTCTATCAAAAAATTATGTCTTCCGATTTTTTCGAAAAGAAAGAAACACACGCCGCCGAGCAGAATTTTTTCGAAAATCAGTTGACCGACGGTCTTCATTCAGAATTTTTACGTGATCTCGAGTGTATATATTAGGTATATTTTATGTATATGTGGGTTCTAAAATCGATTTTGAGAAACGATTGAAACTCGAGTGTATATTTAAAGTATATTTTATGTATATGTGGTGTCGCGGATTTGAATTACGTGAATCTCGAGTGTGTATTTTATGCATATTCTATGTATATTCTATGTATATTTTATGTATATGTGTGTTGTACAACTTTGGTATATACCCGCAACGTGTAAATTTTCATATATGATGGTAACATGTAAATCATGTACAGAATTTTCATACCCGAAACATACATATTGTCATACCGAAACATATACTGAAAATATACTATATATACTCACAGCATATACCCGCAATATGTACAGAATAGAACTATCTATCAACAAATCAAGCACACCAAGTGTTCGACAATTACCCTCTGAGAAGATTTTCGTCAAAACAGATAGAAAAAATTATATATTTAACATGTACTGTACATATACCCATCATATACTGTACATATAACACAATACAACACAACCGTAACCAGGTAAATTCGTCTAAAATTAATAGCAAACTACGTGGAGATATGGCTTGATTTCATGATCCCCAAGCCATTTCCGAAGCTCGAAATCGCAAGACCAATCGATTTTCAATCGTACAAGAAAAACAAAAAATCCAAAAAATCGTAACCGGGTAAATTTGTTTGAGATAGCCTCCGAGCAGCCCATCGCGAACACTTTTCTCCCGTTGACGAGACCACCGGCGGTGGCCCCACATACGAACAGCACCGCGCCGGAGAGCCGTTCGAGATGCCACAAGTCTCAGCCGCACCAGGTCGAGGAAAGTCGCGATCCGCTGCAGCCCTAGCGTCGGCGATCGATCTCCAGCCGTCCTCGCCGTCGCAGCCGCGAAGAAACGACCGCACCTTGACGGGGAGGCAGAACGCCGTCTAGGGACAATTTTAGATACAAATTCGGAGGGTTTCGACTGAAAATCATCGGAATCGGGGGATGAATGGTGCTTTTGAACTTTTGTGGTGATTCTTCCACACAGCTAGTCGGTTTTTTTCGATGATTCTGAGGGCATGTTGTCTTCGCCATTGGTAGATAGGGTTTGGAGAACAAATTTTGACGAGAGAGGAGACGTGGGTGGTTTGGGAGAGATTTTGTTCCAATAATTAAGAAGAAAATCATTGATTATAACATTCCATAATTTGATAGACATTAAAAGATTGGTATATGTGCAAATAATTATGATACATTTGGTAGGTTTGCAAATAAATATATATTGAATGTATATGTGCAATATAAAGAATAATGTTTGATATAGAGTGCAAATTCCTCTTCCTTTTTTACTCTCCAGGTATTTGACCTATGCAGCACACATTGTACATCCGAGTAAAATATATACATCTTCTTCGTAACTAACCAAATGTTAGGGTTTAGAGCTACGCCATTAGCCCCACCCCCAGTGTCTCCATTAAAAGCCAAACCCATTCTTCCATTTTTTCCTCTTCAAAACCTTAATTTCCATACACTACCTGCAAACCGTGTGAAATTCCAACACGCAAATCTTAGAAATTTCCGTATCTATTCAAAAGATGGTCTAAATGGTGGGGAAGATGGGAAGGCCAAGAATGGACGGCCCAGATTGAACCTGAGGTGGGTAAATCTTGTGTTGGACCCTGACCCAGATAACATAGTGGCCGTTGGATTGACTGGCCTGCTGACTTGGGCCAGCGTGCAGGTTTTATGGCAGCTATTCCTAATATCGGCGGCAATATTGCTTGTTGCTCTCAAATACACCATAGTTGCTGCATTGCTTATATTTATTCTCATTACCCTTCTTTGAGTGTTT